TCTAAACACACCAGCACTAAAAAAAAAAAAAACATCATATCCTAAGTGCGCTTTTTGTCCTGATAGCACCTCAGAACGAGAGCTTCGCTGCAATTAAACTAAGGGCCACCCATTTTGAAGTGGTCTGTGTTTGAGGATCGCGTTTCGCCAGAGAAATGTTCATGTAAACTGTTCTCCAGGGTCCTTTTTTGTTGTTTTCCTTTCTTCGTGCTATAAACAGAGCCGCAGATTTTCCTTTTAACCCTTCAGGCTGTAAAGAAAGGCTGTAGAGAAATCAGATTCTGTCGAAGCTGATCCTGACACTTAAGCCCTCGTGGCCGACCCCACCCACCGCCGCTGTCACATGCCGCGCATTCCTCCCGTGCTTCAAAACGAAAAGGGATCCGTCCACGGATGCGCTCATAGGTGCTAAAGACGGACAGACGGACGGACGGGCGGATGATTAGATGGATGATTGAAGTGGGGAGCGGCAGAGATGTGGCCACGGAGAGGCGGCCCGACTCCCACAGCTGTTCACACCGGTCGGTTTAATCTAGCGGCGAGCAGGCGGGATCAGGGCGGATCCAGCCTCAGCTGCCCTGGATGGGAGGTGGCCGCCTGCCGAGGGGGGGGATTAGCAGGCAGGGGTGGACAGAGGGAGGGAAGGAGGGCAGGAGGTGGAGAGAGAAAGAGGATTCGGTTCCACAGGGGGGAAGCTGCAGGGCGAGCAGGCCGCAGTAATCCGACGAAAGGTGAAGCATGTCGAGCGCCGGTTTGATTCACGCTTCGGCCGTGTAGTCGCCGAGGTGCTCTGGAGCTCCTCGGTGTGTTTCACATGAAGGTCAAACTGAAACTGTGTCCACACTTTTTCTTTTTTTTTAAATAGATCCAAGAGCCACTTTACAAGGAGACTGCCCAGATGTGTGGATCTGAGAGAGGACTCTTGATTTGAATTGATCTAAAACACATTTCTGGGGAGTGCAAACAAAACCAAGACGGGTTTTTGTCCCAAAGTGTGCTGCATCACAAGTTGGAGGATTTATCATAACACAACACAAACAACAAAAGGCTGACAGAGAAGTTAGATGGCAAATCTGTCTACATCTGACCTTTCAATATCAACAATACATGAGACTATAGATTTTTTTACAACCTCTACAAACACTTTTCTCTCTACGCTGCACATCAACTCTAGAAAATGTTTCACCATGCAGAATGTATCCTCCAACAACTAGCTGCTCTGTACACTGTTAGAGCCATGCTGCATTTATTTTATTGATCAACTATAGTCTGTTGTGTGATGCAGAAACACAGCCTGCAATTAATCTGCAATTTTTCTTGAATGAATGAATAAAATTTCGAGCTTAAAGTTGGCTAATTGGTTAACGCGTGATGCTTTCAGTGACCGCTGTAAAACTGAAGATCAAACAGTTCTTCCTGTTTTTACAGTTTGATAAATGGTGTCATTTTTGGATTCTGTGATAAATAATCGCAATACTGAAACAATAATCCTGATTATAATATTATTTGTTTAAAGTAAGATAACTGGCCGTAGCATTTCTAGCTATACACGAATGAAAACTATGATTATTTGTGCATTTCTGGGTTTATTTTTGTACATGCAGCCATCGGGTTTATCTGATTCAGTGACACAGTACTCACCAAAGTCCACCGACAACTGCAGCAAGAATGCAATATTCAGTTAGACTGGAAAAAGAAAAAAAAAACATACAGGTTAGTTCATTTTATTTGGAAGGGAGAGCAGCCTTAACATAGAACTGTGCATTGTCAACATCTACCAGAACACAGAGCCCAACATCTTTGAATCAACGTGGAACACTGGGCTTTACCTCCACGTGTTCTGTCAGACTGTGTGATTTAAGTTCACGACCAGTTGAACTGCTGCAACCTTCTTTACAGCCGTGAAGCCACGTTGACAGACAGCCATATAAGTCTGAAATGCATTTTTAAACTCTTGCAGGTTGGAGACTATAAATTATGCGCTTGCTTGTCATTTAGTGGTTTGCTTGCTCTGTGTACGGTGCATTCTCTGGCTTTCGGCTGCTGTCTTGTACCTCCACCTGGGCGATATATGTCCCGGAGGCTTGACCGTCTCTCACGCAGCCTGCCTGGATAAGGAGCGTGGCCGCCTGAGGCCTCCCCCCTGCTAAAAGTGTTTTCGCTCCTGCTGCTCCGAACGACCTGTTACATCACGTTACACGCTGTACATGCATACATTCTTGGTGGCACCAGAGGGCTTGGGAGCACCGGGGCAACCCCTGGTATGCAAACAAAAGAGATTCCTCCGCCTAAACCTCCCCACCCCCCCAGAATGCCACATCAAACAGACGCAGAGCTGAACAAACCGGCGCTGGTGCAGTTTACGACCCGGCTCTTATGGGACACTATCATTAAATCCCAATGACCCATTATTGGCTTGGCCCGAAAGCGGGAATAGTTGTGTGTATGATGGCTCCGTCTGGGCATCGGCTGGATTGATCAGGCTGCCGGCGCAGATGGCGGCGGAGGGATGCGACCTGGCAGCCTGCTGGGAGATGCATTAGTGCAGAGCTGTCATGGTGATGTTACTGGTCAGCGCTGACGGTGACTCTGCCACACCAGATGACTCCGGTCGCACATTTATTCCTGTCAGCTGTCCAGGAGAGCAGACTCACCCATGAGCTGCTCCTCACCGCAGACAAAAATAAATAAAAAATAAAAAATATCTGAGCAGCTAAATATTGCAATGTGCACACAGGAGCTGATTTCAGATGCAGTTGTTAGCGCGCTAGATTTCTGACAGCGAGCTTCGGGGGAGGTAATTAAAAGGTATCTGCATTTACGTTGAGGAGCAGCAAAGCATTTGATGGGAATTCTTGTGGATGATTACATGCTCGCTCTGCAAGACAGCTAATTAGCATCTTAATTCGTGGAGTTTTTTTTTTAGTATCTGTGTATTACCTGTAATGCTAAACTCTTCAGGTGGTACAGTGATCTGTCCACTTATTGCATGGTTTGATTACCAGCCTCTCCACATGATAAAGTGTCCCTGGGCGAGGCACTGAACTAAAAAAGCGATTTCGGTACCACTGAGGGAGAAAAAAACCACACGAGTTCAAACCATTTACCGTTTTATTGTGACGGAGGATTGAGTGTTTAGTATTTAATTCTTAGGCAGATAAAATGGAAAGTTTAAAGCTGCACAGATTTTGTTGTTGTTGTTTTGTTTTGTGGCCACTTGGGGGCAAATCTGAAAACACAAGGTGCTAAGGCTAACATGTTAGCAACACACATTCAAACAGGAAAAAGGTGCGACATTAGCATTCAGCTGGACAGTGGTGGAAAATAATTAGGTTATGTACGAAAGCGCAGTACAATTTTGAGGTATTTCCATTTTATACTTTACACATTTCAGCTGGATATAATAAACTTCATGCTCCACTACGTTTATCTGAAGATGAAGATTTGACACTATGGAGAAAATAACAAGCTTTTAGATTATAACGCTGCGTAATTGCAGATTAAACACGTTGTTTTCCAGCCTTTTCGTCTTCTCCCGTTAATCAGCGTTGTTGTCAGACTCACATTTCAGATCCAACAAATACAGATTTCTTCCCCCCCTTCCTCCTCCAAACTTCTCACATGGTTTCATTTCGATAAAACACAATCCGATCCCGTATCTCAGCAAAATCGTAGATTAGAGACAAACAGACTGAGCAGATTGAAAACAGATTTGTGGATCAGAACTTTGTTATTTCTTCTTTCTTCTCCCATGAATCATCTGATGAGCCGTCTGATTTATCTTCTGTCTTTGTATATAAAACTGGGTATGAAGTAGTTCAGACTGTGGCAGCTACAACAGACACACGCCGGTGCTTCACTGGTAACGATCCAACGATGGCAGATGTAATAATATCAGTTAGAGGGATAAACACAGCACTTTATTTTCATATTTAGGAGAAAATAAAGAAAAATACACTTTTTCATGCAGGACTTTTGCTGAATTCTTGCACATTATTTCACATAAGACATTTCTATTTAGAGTTTATATTGCACTTATTGTACATTTTGCATTTTATTGTTTATTTTTGCTTATTTATCTGTATTTATGGTGGTGCTAACTTTACTCTTCCTGCAGCAATAACCAAATTTCTCCTCGGAGATTAATAAAGTGTTCTGTTCTACATGTAATGGAGTACTTTTACTTTGCTGTAATGGCGTTTTTACTTAACTAGAGGGTCCAAATACTTATACTAAAGGGAAATATTTAGCTTTTTTTTGTCGCTAAATTCCATCTTCCTGCAAGCTAGTCTCGCCTGTCGTTTGGCGCGAGGAAGGCAGAATAGCAAGAGCTTAGTTTGTTTACAACCGGCACCTAAAAGAGGTCAAAAATCTCTCCGTCAGTCTAGCAGTACGAGACCTTACATACACGCCTTTAATCTATTCTTAATATAAAACTACAAATATAGCTCGGCTTAAAAGTCATGTGTTCAGCCGTGTTTCTGAGTCCAGCTTGTCGTGTCAATCAGGCGGCCTCTACCCGCCTGACCTGCGTTTCGAGGCATCGCTGGAATTCCAACATGTGCTCCCTAAACTTGCACTTGGAATTCCCATTTGTTTCCTCCGACCGCCGTTCGGAGACTGGAAAGAATGGAAGACACCCACTCGGTGTCGAAATAACTCTTTCCCAAAAAAAAAAAGACAAAACGGATGATGAATACGTGCGCACTTCTGAAATGACTCACAAATTGGAGTGCTCGCTCTGCTCCGGTTTCATGACTGCAAATGTGACGCCTGAAGAGCGCTGAAGTTAATCCTGCTCCACTGTAGAGCGAAGATGAAACAAAACAAAAAAAAAAAGAAATAAAAGAACAGCCGACCTATTTGCCGCGACGTCTTCTGCTCTTTCATCTCCACGCTTCAGCCATTAGACGCCTACTTTTTACATGCTGCATTTGCTGTAACTGGTAATTTATCTAACACCCCCGCCCCCTCTGGCTGTTTCTTTCTTCTCCCACCAGGCTCCACTCATCTCGGGGACCCACGGGCCACGTCGAACCCCAGCTCGCCCTCCTCGTCCCCGCACACCCCCAGCGCCCTGGGAAGCGGCAGCTCGGATCCGGTCCTGAACGGAGGCCTGTGCTCGGCCGCTTACTGCAGCTCGGCGGGCGGTAGGTTCACCCACACGGAGGGATGCTGCTGCACAGGCACACCATCGCTCACCCCACAGGGGACTGAGAGGAAGCCATTAGAGGATGGCGAGCAGATGTCGTCCTGCAGTAGCTGGGAACAATGGCCAGCGCTTGATGGTCCCAGTGCTGCTGCAGCTGGATGCGGGCATCTGTCGTTATGTCACACTGTTACATAAATGTGACTGATGCGGTGTCTCTTTGAGATATTGCAAGACATAAACCTGAAAGAAAACTCCTTCCTTTTATGCCCGACAGCCACACTGAGATGCTTTTTCCTTATTCATTCGTGTCCCTTTTATGTTGGCCAGCTTCTCGTTGGGTACAGGCAGGAGTTTTGCATCTTGAACTGTTTTCATCTCTTGTGTGCAGGTTGTTGATACTCGAGTATTTCCACCCTGTGCTACTTTACACTTCCACTCGGCTACACGTCAGAGGGAAACGCAGCACTGTCTGCTGCACTACATTTATCTGAACATGAAGATTTTACACAATAACAGGCTTTTAAAATACAACACACGGGTGCAAATTGAATCAGTGGCTTCCAGCCGATTTAGTCTCTTCCATAAATCGGTGTGTTGTCAGACTCACTGATTTTTCACTCGAAACTTCTCACTTTTCATTTCAATAAAATCAAATCCAACCCACTATCCCAGCAAATAAAATAAAAATGGTGGAAAATAGGTTGTCGGTACTGTTTGGATCTACTCGTAAAAGAATATGATATGAGGTCAGGTCAGAGCGATATGGATAAAGGAGGTACCACCACTAAATGTTGACATAGATCTATTTGACGCACGAAGAAGCAAGCAGTTATCTCACATTGATACGCATTAAATGAAGAAGAAGTAAAACCCAGAGGAGTATCGACTGCACCACCCAACTTTAAGACCACCAGTTTTGAGAGTGATGGAGGGTGAAGCATCTCAGATTTGCATCTTTAAAAATGTTCTTATCGCTATTAATTAGACGTCACTTTCAAACCCAGACCGCACCACTTTTTATTCTAAGTAACCCTTTCGTCTTGTCTTTGCGTCCGCAGGAACAACCCCGAACTCACCGGTCAGCCTCCCCAAGTCCCCCACGTTCCCTTCAGGCCGCGGGCCGTGGTCCGACGAGTGCTCGATCTGCTACGAGAATGCGGTGGACACGGTCATCTACGCCTGCGGACACATGTGTCTGTGTTACACCTGCGGCCTCAAACTCAAGAAGATGTCCAACGCCTGCTGTCCCATCTGCAGGAGGCAGATCAAAGACATTATCAAGACCTACCGCAGCACGTAAGGGAAGGCCGGGGCGGACGGACGGCCTCCCGAAGATCAGCAAAAACCCCCAGAGTTGAGGAAGGAAATGTTTAAGTTCAGGGAACACGAACTCTGGTACTTTGATTTAACACAAATATTGTTGGCTGGTTCTGTCATGTGACCTTTTCCAAAGCCGGTACCTCTTGGTCGGGGAGATCTCTTCTCTCTTTCCCTGCGGAGGCGGCGCTTGAAGTGGCTCTCTCCCGGTATTACGAAAGACTTTGAAGGAGGAAGGAAAAAAAACAAAACTGAATTGATTCTCTTTCATGCGTTGAGCCATGCTGTAAGATTTAGGGACAGTCGCCGGAGCGGTCGAGTCACTTTGGGGCTGAATGTCTCAATAACGGCTCCGTTAGAGGACGACTGAAGCGCCGAAATACGCCGTCAACAAGATTTGTGACTTTAAAAAAAAAGAAAAAGCACACCGGCAGCAGGTAATCATCTCAGTACGTCACAACTTGTGTCTGTGTGTTACTGAGACTCGGAAAAAGAGATGCTCAAGTGACGGATCTCTGTTATTGTTGTGGTGATTATCAGTGAGTGATGTGTTTAGAGACGCAAGGCGGTGCTGAGTATTTTAAAGTAGGATTGTAACACCTCTTGTACTCATATAACCTAATGTACCGTTATGGTAGTTCTATTGCAAACGTTGGTGGTAGCTATGTTGTTGTGCTAGCTAGCTGCTTGCTCTGCAATGTGGTTTGTTGCACTGAAATCAGCATCGTCCTCTCAGAAATGCCCCAGAGAGGAGACAGACACTCATCGGTTAAATAAAAAAAACAAAAACACAACCTGCATCCAGCAGACTCAGCAGCTCTGAAATCATGAAAGGAAACAGAAAGTGGAAAAACAAAACAACAAAAAAATTTGGATACTCCTCAGGGCCGGCAATCTTTTTTTGTAAGAACTATTTTCCCAATCTCTACCTACATAACCTAATACACTGTGAGCGCTCATGACGAATTGACAAGTCCTCAAAAATAGCTCCCATAACAACATAAAGTCAAAGGATTGTTGCCATGGTATCAGCCTCCTGCCTTAACAACACAGAAGGTTCATTTGCGGATGTATCATGTTCTGTGTTTTTCCAAAAAAAATAGAAAATAAAAAAACAAAACCACAAAAAAAAAAAGATTAATTACCAAATAATGCTGTTGTGTGGCACCGACTGTCACAAAAAATGTTCACTCAGAGGACAAAAAGCACACAAATTCAAATGCTATTTTTGTAATTCACCACATTTCAAATATTTAATCTTTGTGATGGGACTTTCACCAGCAGCAGAGATCCTTTACAGAAACGGGCAGGGGTATTAACAATAAAAAAAACAACTCAGATTTTGAATATTTCTACGAACCCTGTCCCCTTATTTCAGGTTAAAGCGTCTCCATACACCCCCGCCCCCGTCACACATAAGCCATAGCTTATACTCCAGGACAACACAGCAGGCTGAGAGGCTGTATTTTTAAAAACCTTCATTTTGTAGATAATCAACCAAACGGGGCTCAAACCTATGCTGCTATGGTATTTGCCAGCTGACGGTGATGTTTCACACGTCCCTCCTCCCACATTACAGTTTGATTACGCTACTGCTTGAAGTGTTAATTCACATTTGAATGTTAACTTATGTATTTAGGGAGATTTTTATCGGTGTGCTTGAACTTAAAAAAACAAAAAAAAGGAGAAAAAAAAAAGTTTTATGTGTTTTTTTGTTGTTGTTTTTTTTTTAAGTTTGTTTGACTTAATAATCAAGCTTCTACGATTTTTGTTTTATCCAAAACCATGAGAATCTAGATTTGTTTGTGTGAGCATGGAGGGTTTCTTGTACCTCGAAGCAAACAGATATTGCAGTACACAATCAGACCTAATTGCTTTGGGGTGCAAGACGCAAACTCTCGGTTTTATTACAATCCCTGAATTCAGGTTTTCTTTCCGTTTTTTTTCTTAGTTTGTTTTTTTTTTTGTAATTTATCTTCTTGTGCGTGCGCCCACGTTAGGGAACCCTGCGACCCACTCCTGTATTTATAGCGCTTATCATTATATAGTCTGAAAGCCGTCGCTGTATGGCAACGATAAATGTCACTTTATGAAGCTACTGATTGTAATCTTGTACATGTTTAGGCCAGCGTTGCTCTCTGAGATTCAACCATGGCACGTTTTATTTTGTGCAGACACTCCGACCAAATCCAAAAATCATTAAATTTGTTTTTTTTTTTAAACACATTGTGTAAATGTAATTCCTCTCAATTCATTAAATTTTTTGGACCACGTCAATTATTAAACTCTCACTATTTTAATCTGTACATGATTTTATACACACATTTAAATGAAATTTTATTTTCTTCATCCAGAATGCTCCACAGGCTCCTTGAATGTTACTGATCCTGTAATGTATTATTTATTTGTCCACATGTACGGGTGGACCGATTCCTCCAAACCTGCTTTTTATTGTGTGTTAGCTTTTCTTCTTCTACATTACACTGATGCAGCTCCTCTGTGTCCGGCCGATCACGCAGCAGCACATTTAGACTTTCTTTCTGTAAATCTTTTTGTCGTGCATGAGTTTTCTGTTCACCCAGCGTGAACATCGGGACCAACGGTAGACGAGCATCGGAGCGGAACGCTGTTAGTGTTCGTGTAGACTGAAACCAGTGGCTAGAAAAACTATATAGCGCTCAGTTTGGCCATTATTGTGACACAGCAGCTGAAGTACTTTGCAAACCTGTAATTTTTTCTTTTTCTTTCTTTCTTTTTATTTGAAGCAGCAAGCGTTTGTTCGTGAGCTCTGTTCAGTGTGAGTCGGATGATTGTGGTTAATAAACTTTCCAGATGTGTTTGAGCAAAATGTTGTTTGCCTCATCATTGCAACAACACATGATAGCACAACATTTTCCTCCAGAGAAAGACCAAACAGCCAAACAGCTAGAAGACCACATTTTATCACGTCTAAAATCAGAGCTCGTAGTAGATGGTGTATCCTCATAAAGCAGTAATTTATCTTTTTGTTCAACTGCAATCACTTTATAATGTTGCTATGCTAACATGTTAGAAAACAGTTATTATATTTACAAATTATTGTAGTTATTTATTGCTATTTTACATGGATTTTATGACAAATTTAAATAGCATTAACATTAACATTTAACAGAACTGAAGTTAAAGAGATGTCAACATGCTAATACGGACATTCTAACAGTGCACACTTTTGAAGGCGAATCAATATGCTAACATCAACATGCTAACATTTACCTTTACAGTGGAGTTACCATTCTAACATTACCAGGCTAACAGTAAATCATTACTGTTAAAAGTAGTGTAAACGTGCAAACATTAGTATGCTAACAGTGAAAAAAAAAATACTGTTGAAGTTGTAACATTAATATTAGTGCTACCACACTAATATTAGCATGCTAACAGTATGCTTTAACTGCTATAGCAGAGTCACTATGCTAATAGTAGGATGGTAACAATAAACATTTACTGTTACAGTCGTGTTACAATGTAAATATTAACATGTTGTCTTGTTTACACAGCCAGTAAGCAACTTTAGCATCATATGAAGCCATTTATTGGCCAGAATCGTACTGTACACGTATTAAAGTCCAGCATTCACATTCTTTTGTGCTCCTGGGAAATAAAGCTGCCTCTTAAGCTGCTAAACACTCCTATAGGTTCCATGCTAGCTAGATGCTAACTTTGTCTTCATGGTCATCTAAGAGTAACTACGGAAGCTGGAAGGCAGTTTAATGAAAAAACAGTGAGCAGCAGACTATGTAAAACCAACAACAAACCAAGCTTAGAAACTCTGTTACGGAGCTGCAGCAATGTGACTTTCACATATATTTGATTTATTCATAGAATAACATAAAAATACCTGTTAATGCAACAACACAAAGTCCCAACTTTACCACTACAACACGTGAAATGCCAGTTACACAAGACACCGTTAGCTTTTAGGCTACTGCAACAAGTCAATAAGTTTTCTGCTGCTTTCTTATGCTTTCTTGGAGACACAAACCCGAGCCTCCTGATGAATAGCAACTTTGTTTGGCCCTTCAGCAGCAACAGGAACAAGCCAAAGCTACGAATTCAGAAATGCTCAGTGGCTCCGAGCAGCGAAAGTATTTTTTTTTCTTGCAAAAAAATAGATTTCTGGTAGATGCTCCTAATATGTAACTTAAAACACTATCACAAGGAAGTCAAGTGCCACTTGGCTAACTGTTGTAGCTACAGACCACTCTGTGTAGCTTTACATGATAACAAACAGCAGGAGACCCATGAGGTATGTCTGCAGGTGACCAGTGTTTTGTGACTCACTGTAAAACTAGAGTCATTTCCTTCATTTTTATAGCAGGGAGCAGTAACTCTGGGTGTTTTTTCCACCTAATATCCCGTTTTTTGCTAAATGAAGCTGCCGCAGAGCTATGTATGTGTTTAAATGGATGCCAAATAATGCAAATCATCCCTCTGTGTGGATGGAAGACAGAAGTCGTGAGTGTTTTGTGACTGGAAGCCATAAACCTCACCGTGGTCTCCATGTTGTTGTCTTGACCAGGGTAACTCTACACTTCCTAAATGGAGTGCTAATAGTTTTGGTGTGCACTTGACCTTTGACACAACCTGACATGTGAGTCGGCCTTTTCTTGCTGCCGCCCTCGGGGGGTCCGGGTGAAACACAGTGCTAAGTCACTCAGGGCCCCCCTACTCTGTTATATCACAGTCCACGGGCCTGTGCCTCCGGGCCCGGCCGCCGGCGGGGGCTCCTTGGTGACAGGTATGCGGGGATTTAGGAGATCTACTTTAAAACTCCTGCTAAAATGACTGCACTATAAATTCACAGAAGGCCTGAGCCGGGCTGTATTCCTCAGAGCGACCCGATAGCCATCTGTCTGTCTGTATCTGATTCACGACATCTCCATATAAAAGAGCTGACTGAGAGATATGAACACGGTGAGTAATAATAACGTCGTGAAAAGAATAACCCAGACGAGTGTATTTAATACTTATCATTGTTCAACTGAGCATTCATAACCCTGCCAGAGATCGTCATCTTTCAATGTTAACATCCAATATTATTAGGTATAATAGGGCCGATCATAAAAGAATATTTCATTTCAAGACTCAATGTCAACGTACATATTGAGTTTGCAGCGTGCAGGTCTATTCATATGAAAATGTCTGTCCCTGTTCTGAAAGAGGCAAAGGCTGGTTCAACAGAGCCATCTAGTGGACGCCACTCAGCATCCTCAGTGTGCAGACTGGGAGGGGTTTCATTCTAACATTATTATTATTTCAGCTAAAATTATGCAATAAATCATGAAAATAAAGACACCGCTGAACTGCTGTGTTTCCAGTTAATATAACGAATCGCAAACTCTGGACCTATTAGTGCCTAATTACATTCTTCCTTCTGGAAAACATTAGGAATCAGTGGACCTGTAAATTTAGGTTTTATTAAAATATCCTCCCTCCAGATCCACCACCAGAGCTTCCAACAGCATCCTGAGAGCTTCCTTTACAGATTTGCTTAACATCACCTGTGAACAGGTAAAGGCGCTACAGTCTTTCCCAGTTCTTTCCATTACTGCTTCTGCAAAAAGTTCAAAGCTTCAGCAATTGTTTTAAAACTTGAATCAAATTGTTCAAAACGAGACTGATTAAAGCATTTCAGCACCACGGTTCTGACTTTCACAGCCTTCATTAGTGCTGTTTTGAGTAACAGGAAGCTATTTTTGGCAAATAAGCTCCAATAAATCCACCAAAAAGCAGCCGTAATGACGCTAGCAGCTAGCTGGTAAACTCTGCAGGGCGTTGAGATGCTTCTCTGGATCTCAGCTAATTTGTAGAGACAATCTGGAGCCTTTCTACAAAATCAGTTCATTATAGTCAATGTATGATTTGGCTAACTGGTTTCACCAAAACCCAACAACCTCAGTCACACTTAGCAGCCACACAAAGCTGCTTATGAGCTCTTTGAGTCAAAATACAACAGATTTAAGCTGCACTTATCAATATTTTTACATTAGATGTGGGTCAAACGACTACAAGTAACGTGAAAGGGCGTCTTGTAGAGATAATTCCTGAGAATCACCAGCTGACGCTACAGTTTCCTTCAACTTAATGGTGCATTTTAGTGCCATGCTTTGGTTTTAGGTGTGTTTTGGTTCACTTTTACACCTTTCATCAGTGTTGTTTCCAGCAGCAAACAGTTATTTGAGGCAGAGACGCTCCAATAAACCAACTAAACAGCCGCCATAATGACGTTAGCGACTAGACAATGACCTTCAACGTTTTTCCGACTCTCAGCTAATTTGCAGAAACAATCTGCGGTCTGTGCTACAAAGCAGCTTCATCATATTCAGGATATGTTTTCGTTATCTGGCTTTACTAAACCTAAAAACCACACTAACTGGTGGTCCGGTTCAGAGCGTGTTCACATAAAAGGGCCGCTGTTGTCACCAAATAATGCAAAATGAACATGTCCAGAGCTGCTTATTTCTTATAGATCAACAATCTATAATCCTGAGCCAATATGAGGAGTTTTAACATTTAATACAGGATAAAAGCAACACAGCAGCCAAAGCAGGAAGTAAAGCTGTCAAGAAGCTGCCACCTGTGTCAGTGAGTAAGTGTCTCCATGCATCTCAGTGTCACTGCCCCACGAGTACATCTGACCATATACAACTACGTCTTCTATTAAATTAATGTGTAGCTTAGATGTATACGTCTTATTCTATGAGCTGCAGCCCCGGTGATGGTAAATCGTCTTGGCAGCAAGCAAAGAACAAACATAAAAACATCATTCAAACAGGTAAGTACTGCAAATCTTAGAAGGTCAACAAGTACCAGACTGGGGTGCTTTATCAGTCTCTTGTTTTAGGATCGTATCGCTGCACGAAGGCCTGTGTGAAAATAAAACTGCTTTCAAATGTTTTGTTGTCAATGTGAAAAATGAATAATAAACCAAAGCAGGCCGATGTTTCCTCGACTGGGAGTCTGTCTCTCTTGTATTGATGCTTTTCAGAGAAGAAAAAAAAAAAAGGTTGAGACGAACTCAAACAACTCTGGCATCCTCAGAAACCCTCTCACCGAGCTCCGCGGGAGCTTCTAAAAATAGCCATGCCATTGTGTTTTAATACTTGCTTATCTGTTATCTCAACCATAAATTTCTCCAGAGCAGGTTAGGTGAGCAGTGACCATGGGGATGAACCCCAGAAAGAACTGAACCAAACCTGGATTTATCTCGCTAACCGCACAAGCATTTTTCATGGAAACAAGTCCGGTCGCAAGAACACAGCTTCAAATGAAAGCTCATGTTGTCAACTGGAGGCGTACGAAGGCAAATTTTCACTAAACATATTCAGAAAACTGTAAAATAATCTGTTAAATGTTGTGTTTTTACCTTGTTTCTATCCCCCTCAGTAGCCAAAAAACAACACAAACAAACAAGCAATACACAAATAAATAATCAACTTTACATTTTAACTAAGCTAGCATCATGTGGCGCTACATATTTCATGCTTCTGGATGTTCAAACAGGCGACAGCTAGCAGTAATATGTCAGCGTTAGCATCGTAACCCTGCATCAGATGTTAAGTATTTGCAAAATGCAATTCCAGCTTGAGTGACTGTTCGCTAACAGCTGTGAATTTATCTTTATTTAGAGATAATATGTCAGCGTAAGCGACGCTTTAGTTTGGCCAACAATCCAGAGAACGTCTTTATATAATGATAGAGTACCAGTATGTCGAGTATTAACCAAAAATAATAATAAAGACAATAATAAATAATATAAATAAAATTAATGCTTCTTCTTGATTTTTGTTTTCTTGTATATTTATGTATATTTATAGGATTGTACCTTTAACGGTTATTAATACTGGGAGGTCTTGGCCTTAATATTTAAATGATTAATTCATAATAAATGATAATATTGTGGGGTTTTAATATTTATTATAGTCAAGAAAAGCTGCATTTTACACAATTTCTAAGGGCTTCAGTCCTTAATATTGAACATAATCCAAGTCTTAAGCAGCACTGTGGGGTCTAGTTGTGTTTTATTTATTTAAATCTTCGTCATGCCCCCATTTATGATGACAATGAAGTTATTCTATTTAAAATAATTACTGTGTGGTTTTAGGCTTTTAACATTTAAAATTTCTCAAATTAATTCACATCTATAGGATTTAAATGTGAATATTTAACCTAAATATTTAAAACAGCTGGGTTCATTTGTAATTGCAAACTTTAAATGTGCTGTGAAAGTATTTTAATTCTGTTTCACACGCTCAGTTTTTATGAAATGTGGGTCAAACGTGGCTAACTTTAAGCTAACAACCAGAACAGGTGCATGTTAGCTTGATAGGACCGTTTAAATGCTCATTATTTGATTATTCTACGCCAATTATCTTAATTATTTCTGCCATAAAAAAAACACCACAAAATACCAAAATCATCCTAAAACAAATACTGCAGCCAATATAATGCTAAATAAACCACCTTACCTGAACAGCTGCTGAGGTTTTCACGCTCTTCCCGGTGAATAATGACGGTTTTAAAGTTCAGAAAATGACGCAGCTTTGTTCGGATATTAAACCACGACGTGTTGCTCCGATATAAATGACATAAATCCGTGTTTCTAGAAGTTCTTCTGCTCCTCTCTCATCGTTCTTCGTGTCTCTGTTTCCGTCCTTTTGCTTTGTTTAATCACAAATCGATCCGTTTTCATCGTCTGTTCACGTCTCATTAGCTCAGCTAGCATTAGCCGCTGCTGTAGCCCAACTGCGGCGGGTGCGCTGTGTTGCCAGATTGGTGATGGCTTCACCCTATTAGCCACGTAAATTAATTTTTATTTAAAAAAAAAATATGCGAAAATGTTGCGTATACTGTAATATAGTGTTTCTCTATGACATATAATAAATTATCCCACACTAGCATACTTACTATTCATTTACAGTATCATGTGTTGCTGTAGGAAGCTAACAAAACTGGCAACCCAGCAGTTAAAAAAAGTCAATAAAAAGTTTTGTTTTTCCAATTTCATAGCCTACACCTTTATCTTGTTTATGAGCAGTGACGCTGTTGGGATTTTTTTTATTTTTTTTTTTATAAAATATGCCTTTTAGTTGTGTTATATCATAATTTTTAGCTCTTGTCTTGCAGGTCGGCAGCCATTTTGTTGGCAGCTATTTCAAGCTAATGAGACCAAATGTTTATTCCAAACTACCGAATACATACTACTGGTAAACATGGTTAAGCTTTCTAGGAATGTGCAGAATTAAACTGTTCAATTAGCTTGTTTTGCAGTTTGCTACAGCCGGATTAGCTGGTTTGTGGTTATGGAAAGCGGAGGCAAACAATAGCATGCTAACGTGTAGCATCCCCTTATGCCCCCTTGATTTTGTTAAAACGATTTTTCCCCAAAGATGAATAATTATCACATTAATGTCTAATTATGCTCGTTTTCCTGGCATTTCTGTTGCTTTGGAAGCACAAAGCATCAGTGGCTTTTCATCAAACTTGCAGCAATTTTATTTCCATTTTCATGTACACACTGGTTTGGTCATGTTTTATTTTATATGTGGGTTGTGTATTCATATTATATAGTGTTTTTAGCTAATCAATAGCTTCATAATGACACTAAAATGCATCACAAATGATCAAAAATGGTGTCGTTCTTGCCTGAAATACTGCATTTTTGCCAAATCACTACACTAGTATATTAACCAGTTCCAAACACAGACCAAGTCTCCATCTAAATAAATGTTAGGAGAGCCATAACTGGGATTTTTATTATTCACCTGGAATAAAAACTGCATGTATAGAATTAAGAGTCAAATCTGTTCAAATCTGCTTAGATGGTTTTGTGCCCCAGAAACACATTTTAGTGTTCTCCTTTCCAAACAGTGCTGGGAGCCGGAGCCATCAGGTGTTTGTGTAAATGCATCCGGTACCAGCTACACCTGTCAGTCCTCCTTTGTGATATCGCCAACGTGTCGACAAACGCCACAAGTCATTTTTGTTCTGGAGCTGAACCTGCAAACCCCAAACCCTGCTGTCAGCATGATTTAAACGCTCAGCGCTCGCAGATGCACTTCCAGTGTTAGAAGCTGATGACGATCAATTATTCACACACACGCAGTGAGAACTTTTCAGTCCGTTTGTCTATAATTCATGTTATTGACCTGCCACGTCCTCCTGAAAACCTGCGTTTCCCTTTAAGAAGCCCGCCCGGGGACAGAGGTGTAAGCAGATATTTCACATTCCTTTGGACAGAAGTGATAAATCTCTTTGCGCACACGTTTGGATACAGCAGAACAAAAATTCTTGTCTCTCCTCTTTAGCGGGGAACCGGGGCTGCGGGAGCTCGTTCGTCTTCATTCATCGCTCTCAACCTCCTCACACTTTCCTCTCATAACTCACGCCTCGCTATATATAACCAGCCGCATTGTTCTGCTCCTGCACATCCAAACTCACTTAATCTGGGCCGCACAATAAGGCGAATAAAGATAAATATCTCAATCTGTGCTATTACTGTCACATGCTATCTGGATGGATCGTGGGCAGGGCAGGCAGGCAGGCAGGCTGGAGGCTTTTATCTGTTACTGCAAAAAAAAAAAATGAGAAGGAGCCGGCGTAAAACAACAAAGATAATACATTTAATATTGTTTCTCTTTTGGGCAATGCGAGATACAATGTAAACATGTACAGGATACAAAAAGAGGAACAAGACTTGTCAAAATGAAACGGTAGATAAGAAAAAAAAACCAAAACAATGCCCTGTTTTCAAAAGGAACGTTTCATGCTGGCCCACAGTGAGCCGATGTTCTGAACAGACCGCCACCGGAACCAAGCATCCTTCTGCCTCCTCCTTTGAAAACAAGGTGTTAGCAAGGGTTAAACACAATTTGCATAACAACAATGGTAATAAAAAAGGAAATAAGAAAAAGGAAAATTGAAGAGAAAAATGAAAGAATAGCACCTCCTTTGGTCCAACTCAAGGCCTGTGGTTGTTGTTGTGTTTGGTAGCGGGTTGTTTATGTCACAATTTACAGATCAATGGAGTTTGTTGTTTGGCACGCAGCAGGGCGATGACGAATCCCATCCTACCAACGCAACAGCGAGGCTAAAAAGCTCCACCTTTTATACCACGAATTCCACCTCAGCTGTCACTCGGCATCAATCATCACTCCCGACAGCTCGCCCAAACGTGGCGGAGCTCCCACGCGACAAAAAGGCAGCTCTTGATGAGGAAGCCGACGCGGCGTCTCGACCGGCTCGAGGTTAATTAAGACACGCTGTTGTGCTAATTAGAAACGGGGGGGACTCAAACGGAGACAAAGAGCGGCGCCACGGAGACGCCTCGTTCCTCGACACGAGCCTCTTTCTCTGGAGCTCGGCGACGGCTCCCGCTGATGCCCGCTGGCGCCTCAAACAATCCTGTGAGGAAGTTTTCACAACGACACAAATAATCTGCATTTTCTCGATTCGCAGGGGCTTCTTCTTCTTTTTTTAAACTTATTTTTCACCCTAACTGCTTGAGAAAAAAGCCCCGCAGCGTCTCTTGTTCTCTTCTGTCTTTCCTCACACTCAAAAACTAGATAATAATTAAAAAACCTACTAAAGCATCGCCCCCCTTCCCCCCATTCTCGTCTAAATACGTCCCACCTGCTCCCACTCACTTGCTCAAACTTTCCTATCAAACCTCCTCCCATCAAACAGAGCCGAGTGACTTCTGAAGCCCTCTTTTTTTCTCTTGATTTCCCTCCTTTACAATTAAAGCTCGTTTCATTACAAACCCTTCAAACACATCGTCTGGTTATTTTCCCCGCAAAAACACAAAGGAACAAGGGAGACAAGGATCCATCATCTGAAGCTCTTTTTCTTTTGTCTCATTCCAAAAAAAACTTTTTCCGACACCCGAGCTCGACTCCCGCACCCTCAGGGCTCCATGAGATCTGACGACGCCGGCAGTGAAAGGAGCTAAAATCAGACGTGGGAATCGGCTCGGCAGCTCTTGGGCGGACGGATGGAGGCCGAGACGAGCCGCTGTGGCGTGAACTCTTTTGTCTCTCGTGGCTTCAAAAGAGCGCCGCAATTAAAACGTTGTTTGATGTAATGAGATTTCGCGGCTCGGGTTCGGGAGCGGAGAGCTCATTAGGCCGGCCGGGCGGTTAGCAGGAGTTCCTCGTGTTTCAGGTGGAATCAGCGCCCGTTGGCCTTTCTTCTCCATCAAAGCTCCTCTCACCTCCAGAAAATCCACCACTGATCCATCATCTGTCTCCCTGCTTTCCCGCTCTCGCTTACAATCCTCTCTGACCTTCTCTTTTTTTCTCGAGCGCACCTGCAAAACAAACCATCTCATCGTGCTAAGACAAACTCAAACTCCCCAAACCCAGGAAGCCTCCGAGGCGTCGCCGTCGCTTCGGCCCGAATGTGTCGAGGAAGGAGGAAGATTTAAAAGGACGAGGAGCCGAAACCGTCCGTTTGTCAGAATGAAAGGAAAGGGAGGAATGACACGGAGCTGCCTCACCCGGCTGCCCTCCGGAAACTCATCGGCTTCATTCCAGATCACATGCTCTGTCTTTTTACTTTACCGCGCCTTCACCAAGCACCTACTGGTCCATGCAGTCTGCAGACGATTGAGACGTACCGCTGCATCATAATAGGGAACCTTAAGCCGTCATCTGATGTTTAAAGTAAAGGATTGTGGGTCAGAATGGCCAGAAAAGCCTGGAGGTGGTCCAACATCCAGGTATTTTGGACATACAACGCATTGGGACGTGCATTTCCTGTGGCGGGAATGACTCCTCATCATCACTCCATCAGCAAAAAACATCGGTAAATAGTTCAAATAGTAAATAAGCTTGTTCACTCTGAGCTGAGAGTTATCGGAGAAGACGGATACCACTCTTGTGTCCGTACTCTAAGTTTTAAGAGGAGCCTGTTAGCCTAGCTTAGCATAAAACATGAACCTGGGGAAACAGCGATCCTGGCGTCGTGCAAAGTTGAAAAACAGTTTGCTAATTAATGCATCGTCTCTTGTTAGTTTCACCAAAACTAAAGTGTAAAAATGGCAAGTTGAGGTTTTTGTGGATTAGTTTCTAGCCGTCGTCAGAGCTTTTAAATGCATGTTGTGATCGGATCGTCATTGGTGCGTCATTTCTGTTTGCAAAGACCAAATGTGTTGTTTTTAGCTGTGGGAAGGCAGCAATGCCCTCCTGTGGATAGTCTGCTGGTGTTTAAAAAGAAGGAGAAGAACAAATCTACAGTTGTTGTTGCCTTTAAACCCTCTGAGCAACAAAACCTGCTGCTGGGTTTGAAAGTCTTGAAAATCTCCAAAATTACAGCATTTATACGTAAAGAATAATCAGATTTTTGAACTTTCTTAGTTTTCCTTGAAGATACTCCTTGTGAAATGTCAGAATATTCACCAAATCTAAGTTTAAAGTCATGATAATTCATCAGAATCTCTTCTTTTTACATGTGTTATGGGAAGAAAATGCCAAAAATGTGCAGTTTGCTCGAACCAGATTCTGCTAAAAATCAAATATTCGGTGCTTCTCGACATAATCCTGAAGCAGTTAGTGGCTCAGTTGTGACCAACAGGCTGCTGCTGAATGAACGTGGACACACCTGGACCCGACCACCTCTGAACGTGCACCAGAACAGTGAGTTTTACAGGCACTGACAGATATTTTTAGTGTTTCGCACAGCCAGGTTAGCTGTTCTCCTGCTCCAAGCTGCTACAGTCAAAGATCCTCTCCAGACACGTTTTAAGACGGAATAAAATACTGGTTGGAATATTTAGCTTCAGCTGTCGTTATGCTAAGCTAAGCTCCTATTTGTCACTGAACTGTGAGCGGTTTCCAGTTGTGATGCCACGAAATAAAACTGAACAGTCAGGTTTAAACTGAGCATCAGATAAATGTGGAAACGGTGTTCGAGTATCGAACTCTGCAAAAAGTGCACAAAGAATGATATCAGTCTTTTCAACTAACTCTCAGCAACAAGGCCCAACATGTTTAGTAAAAGGTGGAGCTTAACTGAAGGTTTCTTGGACGAACTCTTCAGCTGTGTTCACCTGCAGCTCATCAGTAAGGCCGGCCGAGGCTCAGCGCAGAGAAAAATAAAGGATTTTCTGTTTTTTGGCGTACATCTTGGAAGTTGATGGATTGAACTGAAACGGCCTGAAGGAGCGTTCACCTCGCCGCTCTCTTGTTTACCGCCGCCGACGGTTCCAAACGTCACCTTCGCCGCCGTGAGTGTTGAGGAGAAAAAAAGCCGGTTTGACAGCGGTGGGTTAAATGTCAAGAGAGGACACAGTCCAGAGGGAAAACAAACCAACAAACTGGAAAAAAAAAAAAAAAAACGAAGAAGAAGAGGAAGAAGAAGAAGAAGAAGAAGAAAACAACAACACAAAAACTATCAAAAATCCATTCAGGCACGAACGTGACAGCTCAGAGCAGGGCCGCCGAGGCCCCTGACGAAGGGCCGAGACTCTCCATCGGTGAAGGAGATCCCAGATGACTCGCCGCTGTGTGTTTCTGCCATTCACAGATCACCGTCCACTGCCGGAGGAGCAGCAGCTCAGTTCATGGCGTCAGGAGATAACGAGGTGTCACATGCGGCTGCTTTGGTCCAACGATTCCTCGGATGCTTTCAGGGCCTCGCACATCTGCTCTTTCAGACAGACTCAAACATGACACACTTGAAGTGATGGTAAAAGCTCGTGACTGGCAGTTTGACCGGGAGCGTCGCCTCCCGGCGCATGTAATGGCAATGTTCTGATATTTTTTTATTTTTTTTCTCTCCTCTTGTAGAAGCATGATGCGTTGTTGTTTTTCTTTTGTTGTTGTTGTTTTTTTTGTATCATCTATTGCACATTTCCTCGCGGGTACATTTCAGAATTTAGAGCAAAAAGAGGAAATTAAAACAAAAAACAAACAAAAAAAAAAAAGATAGATGCTACACAGCTAAATGTACGCTTGACACAGAGCGATTCCCTTGCAAGTAAGTTCAGCTCGATCAAACAAAGCGATATGCAATAATAATATGTGCTGGAGCGAAACGTTAAGAGTGATTCAACACATTTACATAATGCCATCGTCTCAATGAAAGGGGGCCTCATTAATTACATTAATACGACCATAAATGAGGATCTGTTTGAATTTCCGTCGACTGCCGAGGCAGCATTCTGACTTGAGTCCTGATAAAAAAAAATAATGCTTTGAACGAGGGAATATGGTGATTGTCAAACCGTGATACGATATTAAACCATTCATAATAAATACGCTTTAATCAGGCATTATGTAAAGCACAATAAAGATGAAGGAAGTGCCCATGATTTGCTAAAGTTGCAGAACACAGCATAGAGGGGGACAAAAAAAATCCCAAAAAATAAATTATTGCCCGATACAAAACAAAACAAAAATTACAACTTTTAGCTGCACTGAGATTTAAAAAAAAACAAAAAACTGAAAAAAACATTTAATTTCTGTACAGTTTTTGGGGAGACTCACTGACCAGCAGCGCATTTCTTATTGCACTGAGGTAGGGAAGCGACCAATCATCACACAATCATGGTGTAGTACCTTTAAGCTTCCACAAGAGGTCTCTGTTTCTCCAATTCTACCCAGAGAGACTTACTGTGTTCCTCTCACTTGAGTTGAAGAAGGAAAAAAAATTAAATAACTACAAAAAAACTCCACCAATAAATAATATGCTGAGTATTTACTGCATCTTTACATTAATGCACCATAAAAAAAACATTTTTAAAGTGCACTAATTCACAAAACAGAACCACTTCGTTCCTCATTATTGCCACTGTGCGACCACGGAGTAACAAACAAACAAACAAACAAACAAAAAACAAATATGGTTTTGTTGAAATAGATAACCGCCATCTAGCAGGTACTGTACTTTAATACTATGATACTGTCCAGCAGAAACATAATGAAAGGTTAGTGTTCAGCCTCGTACGTACGGAGAGCTCACACCGTTCGTTAGAAAATGTATTTCAGCAGTCTTGAACATCAGCCGTTTGAATTTTGGAAGTTGTATTTTAGCTCACTTCTATACTGCGGGAGACTTGTTTCTAACTTATTTCATTTATGTGATTTTATACAGTTTTGAAGATGCGAAAAACCTAAACTAGGAAACAAGATAATAAACTGTCAAGCCCAATACTGCACAGCAATATCTAATATTACAATTTAGTTGTTTACATCTTGTTCTGGATCAATAATTTTACAAAAATGTATCAAGTGCTTCCAGGAAAACATTTATTTTTCAGTTCAGAAACCTCGTTTTAGGCATTTTGGTGAACACACTGTATCATTTGTACCATAAATAAACAATAAAATCACAAGAACTGCCAATGAAATGATATTTCTCTTTGGTTTGATCACATTTTGGGCAAAATGCTATGCAGATATATCCCTGGGATTCAATTATATCACCGCATTTCCAGTATTTATTTAATATATCACCGCGACAGCGGCCTTATTATATGTATAGAAAACTAAATATATACAAAATCAACTGTTCCTGGAGCTAACAACACACTAAATCTTTGTAAACTAACTGTTTTCATCTTTTGAGGTTACTACCTACCTAGATATGAGGTGGTTTGGTTCTGGAGGTTTTTTTTCTAAAATATCCGACTGTTTCAAGTTTCACAGGTTGTTTTTAAACACATTTGTTTTCCCAAACAGTTACATCTGGGATTAAAGACATGAATATTAACATATGTCCGTGCCTATGCCAATTAATCAGACTGGAGCGCCAGCTGTATGTATGTTCACTTCAGGTAGGAGCTTTAACTTTTCCAATTCCAGGCTGTCGGTGGAAAACAGATGTCACAAGAAAGCAGAAATAATTCTCTAAGGAAGACTTGCATCAACACAAGACGCTGCAACATGTACAAACTAAATAAAAGTCGTGATAACGAGATTTAAATACCGTCTTTGATGACTTGTGACTTAAACGAATAAATCTTCTGGTGACTCGAGTCCCTTAAATCGTTTTTTCTTTGTTTGATCTGTGCATCGGACCAATTAGAGCGCTCTAGATTTGCACTTTGTTTGCACTCGATGATGGAGCTCTTCATTGGGAATACTCCTGGTGGTGTTCGTAGGACTATGGCACTCTTAAAAGATTTGGTTGGTTTCATGTTTTGCCATCCACCATTTAGGACCACCATTCAGGTGATCAAATACAAAAGGCACTTATCGGCCATCATAGTCAGTGATGGGCAGGAATAAGCATAGCTGTTACCCTGCTCAGCTTCTCTACGACCTCTTTAAGAGGTTATCGCTCCCATTCATACCGTTTTATATCTCAAAGACACCGTCCTCCTCAGTCCTCCACGTTTCTGCCGATCATTCCCAGGCAAAATATTTAAAATCTTCCTTTTTTTGTATAAATTTTAGTAAACCAGCACTAAAAGTGTCTTTCCTCATCAGGTTAAAACATTTCTTTTTACACTCATAAATGTACATTTCCAAGGACATATTGCTTACGGGAGATTGCGGGTAACATTCTTGAAGAGTGATGCCACCCAGGTCTTTGGAGACATCAGAGGGGGGAGGAGGGAGAAGGATGTGGGGTTTATTTTTTCCTCTCTAGGTAGTTGGAGGGGACCCAGCCCTTGCGGGGAAGCAGGCTGTCCTGCACCTGGCAGTACCACCATCCATTGGGGTTTCTCTCCAGAACCTCCAGACAAGTGCCCTCAGAGAAACCCATCGTCTCCTCATCGCCACGATAGTCAGCAATGGACACGTACACGTCCCTGCCAAGGTTGTTGTGGATCAGCTGGCTCTTCTCGATGGGTTTGGGCCGAACTGTGGACACGGGTATGCCGTTGCGCTGGTTAACTCGGCTCAGGGCGTCTTGGACGTTGCTTGTGCTGAAGGCGCTGCCCGAAGACAAACTGGAGCGCTCAGCGGGCCTCGTCTGACTTTCAACCACCACATGAGGACGTACGGTGCTGAAGGAGGCATTTCGGCGGACACCAAGAGTTGCAGAGCCAGAGCCATAGTGGTCGCTCCTGCCGAGGGAGTCGTTTCTCCTCAAGGATCCCGTCATGTAATGGGTGTCCTTCGCTGGCTGTGTTGTGGTCACAAAAACAGACTGAGGCCTCACTGCCACCTGGCGTACCCCGTTCCTCATCCGTACACCTCCATTAACCATCCCGGATGGTTTAGAGAACCCACCAGGAGGCTTGGAGGGGATCGGTGGCGTGTTCCTCCGCAGGCTTTGATGCTGGGTCAGACCCTGAATGTTGATGTTATTGAGGGCCAACACATGCTGCTCATTTTTCTCCAGGCTGTTGGACTTACTCCCACCACTCCCATGTCCATCTGACTCCAGCCCACCAACATCGGCCACTTGTCGGACAGGCTCCAGGTAGTATGAAGGAGCCCAGCCCTCCTCGGAGCCCCAGCGGATGTACCACCAACCACTCTCCTGCTTCTCCAGAACATCCACCTCCACTCCGGCTGGGAAACTGATCTCAGAGTCTTGGACCTTCTTGTAGGCGTCCAGGGAGCGGTAGAGATTGGGGCCTTCCACGTCTGAGTCACCACGGCTGCCTTTGGAGTAAACAGAGGAGAGATCTGAGGTACTGCGCGAACACATCGAGTCCTCTGAAGAGATAACGGAGGCGGTTTCAGAGTCGTCCCCTCGAGAAGATTTGAGGCCATGTCGATACTGACTCGTAGGCCTCAGCTGCCTTCTCAGAGAGCTGATGTCCATCCTCTCGGGACTCTGCGGCTCTGATTTGGTCAGAAGGGGTTTAGGTCTGACCGAAGGCTTTGGCCGGGTGGAGGGGCTCTGGCCTATCCTCTGCTCCACATCCCGGTTGAAGGTCTGGCCTTTCTTTGGGCCTCTGCTCAGTTCATCCAATGAAGAGTGGGAGCTGTTGTCCTGGGAACGGAGGCTGATATCCATGTGTCTGCCCAGGGTCTGGCTCCTCCGATGCATCTCTGGTGTCATGGTTTTCATGGGTCTACCGGCTAAAGGTGAAGATCCGGACGGTTTTCGTGGGACTGTGGAGGAGTGGTAGCTCCTTGGGGAGTTGGGCTCGCTGGAACCTTTAGCTAAGGTTCCTTCGATGCCACTGCTTGGCCTGAAGCCGTCATTCTCGTAGATACACTCCTCTTTAGTGACCTCCTCTACGGACCTGAAGGAGGTTCTCCGATGGGTGAACACCGGGGAGGCCTTGCAGACAGGAGGCGAGGCTTTACAGGAGGGAGGCGAGTTGCGGTACTTGTCGCCGACCACGCTGCTGATCTTCACATCCAGGGAACGCTCGTCCTTCAGAGAATCTACGTCAGACTCGCCTTCACACCCGATTGCAGGAACATCATATTCCGGTTCCTCGTACACCGGCCTGCTCGGCGGCTCTGTGGCTTTGGAGGCAGAGTTAGCAGGAGGGGGGGCCTCCTCCGAGTCCTGCTTTTTGACGGGCGGAGCTGGCGGCGGGACTTTGGGGCGGGTCAGAGTGCTGGTCCGACGGCTGAGGTTGGGCTTCTTGCGCTTATCGATGTACGAGCAGGGAGCCCAGCCTTCCATCTCTCCGATCTGCACGTACCACCAGCCACCAGGGTTCTTCTCGATCACCTGCACAACAAAGAGACAACAGCAAGTAAGCAACAAATAGTTGTTAAATTTTCTAAATATGGTAAAAAGAGAGGGACGAGCCACATGCTGAATTACAGCAGTATGAAGGGTTTAGTCCATGTAACACCTTGGAGTTCTTTGTTCAGTTTGCTCCATATAAATGAATCAAGTAAAAAATGGGTTTGAAGAGTTCCTCATTCTTTTTTTTTTTTAAATTCACATAGTTTCATTCTTAATCATTATTGTCTGGGTTATTGCAGGTTATTCGCTTGGACTCTAATAATAATATTAACAATAATAACCTTTATCTTTTGAGCACTTTTCAAAATCCACGTTACAAAGTGCTGTACAAGTCCGCAAAATCACAAAAACATCATAAAAGTCATATAGCTATCTAAATTTAGAAATTACAGATCAAAGAGATAAAATAAAAACATGGTGCATAAAACCAAGCTTAAAAACTGGCAGGATAAACTGAAGTTTTTATGTAGATTATTCATAAAAATCAAGTTCTTCCAATTAGTATAACCATGTAATTAAAAAGTGTTTTTTAAGTGCTATGTGCTGAAATGCTGGAATTATGAAGTTTTTAAGTGGGAACATTTAAAAAATTATATTGCTGCAATGTTTTGTAGGTAGGTAGAAGAAAAATGTTATTATTGAGCCAATTTTATTCAGTTATCTTATCTTATTCAGTTCACTTATCTTATTTTATACTTAAATCTCTTCTATTTTTTATTTTTTTGCTCTTTGTTTTGTACTTTATTCTATATTGCACTGAAGGAGCTGCTCTCAATCTCATTGTACATGTGTATAGTGACAATAAAGGCATTCTATTCTATTGTAGTCTAGTTTTCTTAAATTAAACAGAATATTAAGTTGATAGAATTTCCAGAAAAAAATTTGTCAACAAAACTCAACAAAATAATGACCGCAACGTAAAAAAAAAAAACTTCATCTAAATCAGTAAATTAGACTGTTTTATCTTGCAACCATGTACTTAAGTAAGTGGATTGAATTTTCTTTTTAGAGTGCAGGGGCAGCTCTGTAAAGCAGTGCACATTCAGACGCCATACTTTTTGCATTGCAGTGGTAAACATTTGTCTGCCTGCTCCAGACTCAATGAAAAACACTCTTT